GTACACCAAAAATTCGAGTTTAACTTCTATCTATTTGCTTGAAAGAACTGGATACAGTAGACTCTTGGCATGAATGACCTTTAAATGGTAGTACTTGGGTAATTTGTCATTTGACCAGATTGTAGATTTGAATTACCTATGCTGAGAGAATAGTGGGCAAGAACAATATATTTAGCAAATGAGAGACCCTAGATTATTGCCCAGCATTGGTATACAATCAAAAACCCTCAGGAAGTGATAATAACTTTCTTTGGGGAAAAAAAAGGCACAGTGAGCCCCAGGATAAGTAGAAAACACAATTAACCTGTGGCACATGGCAGAGGTTACAGACAGAAAACACATGACCCTCAACAGAAAATAGATTATTTAAGGAAAAAAAAGTCATTGCTAGGCTATTGCGGCCATTGCCTTACTAGATTCTGGTGTGGCCATGTGCTCTTTGAGCTATGGCCACTGCTAGGCTTCCTAAGCTTTGGCCCCTCTCCTGCCCAAGGAATCTACAAAAAAATTTCCAGAATAAGTTCAGCAAGATTTCAGGTTATAGTCAAGATCAAAACATAAAAAGCAACTGCATTTCTAGATATTAATAACGAACATGTGAAAATTAAAGTTAAAAAGACAATACAAGCCGGGCTCGGTAGCTCAGCCTGTAATCCCGCGCCTTTGGGAGGCTGAGGTGAGTGAATTTCCTGAGCCCGCAAGTTCAAGACCCCCACCTGGGCAGCGAGACCTCATCTCTACAATAAATCAAAAAATCAGCCGGGCGTGATAGCGCAAGCCTGTAATTCCGGCTACTCAGAAGGCTGAGGCAGAAGGATCGCCGGAGCCCAGCAGGTTGAGGCTACGGTGGCCGGGAGTGGCCACTGCACTGCAGTCTGGGTGACAGAATGAGACTCCAACTCAAAAAAATAAAAAAATAAAAAGACAATACCATTTACAATTGTTCCAAAGAAAATTAAATACTTAGGTATGCAATTAACAAAACACGTACAGAATCAGTATCCTGAAACTTACAAGATTCTATTAAAGAAAATCAAAAATGAGCTCCATAAATGAAGAGATATACCATGTTCATAGATTGGAAGATTCAAAATAATAAAGATGTCAATTCTCTTCAATCTGATCTATAGCTTTACTGCAATTCTTATCAAAATTCCAGCAATTTTTTTTAGACACAGACAAGCTTATTAAAAACATTTAGCCAGGTATGATGGCTCACATCTGTAATCCCAGTGGTTTGGGAGACTGAGGCAGGAAGACTGCCTGAGTCCAGGAGTTCGAAAACAGTCTAGGCAACAACAAAACCTCATCTCTATAAAAAAATCAAAAAATTAGTTGGGCATTGTGGTACATGCTCACAATCCCAGCTACTTGGGAGACTGAGGCAGAAGGATCACCTGAGCCCAGAAGGTCAAGTCTGCAGTGAACTGTGATCATGCCACTGCACTCCAGCCTGGATGACAGAGTAAGACACAGACTTAAAAAAAAAAAAAAAAAAGGTATATGGAAAGGCACGAACCCTAGAATAGCTAAGACTATCTGGACAAAGAGAAGTAAACTAGGAAGAATTATTCTGTCTGATATAAAGGCCTATTATGTGGCTATAGTAATAAAGACAGTGTGCTACTACTGGAGGAAAAGACATATATAAATGGAACAGACCCACCCAAGTACAGCTAACTGATTTTTAACAAAGGCACAAAGCATAAAGCAATGGAGGAAGAATAGCTTTTCAACAAATAGTGCCGAAGCAACTGTATATCCTTAGATTAAAAAAAAGAAAGAAAGAACAACGGCCTAAACATACAACATAAAACTGTAAAACTTTTGTTTGTTTTTGAGTCAAAGTCTCACTGTCACCCAGGCTCAATGTGCTGGGCTCAGATGATCCTTTCACCTTACCAAGTAGCTGGAAGCACAGGTGAGTGCCATCACGCTCAGCTAATTTTTTTATTTATTATAGAGATGAGGTCTCACCATGTTGCCCAGGCTGGTCTAGAACCACTGGACTCAGGCAAGCCTCTTGCCTCCACCTCCCAAAGTGCTGGGATTGCAGGGATGAGCCACTGAGCCCAGCTGAAAAAAGAATTTTCTAGATTAAAAAAACACTCATTTCTTAAAATAATACATTTTTACTCTAACCATTTTTAATACTCATCTTTCTAAAATGTACTTCAAATCCCCCTACTTTGTCCAGTAGAAGACAGAGAACATTATTTAACGTTTGCCTGAAGACACTTGGATATAATTATAACCATTAATTGTTATACTGTGCTATAATATAGTGACGGCCTTGGGGGATATTCCAATAAGAAAAGTCATTTACCCCTACACTAAATGGGCAAAGTCAGCTCTCAGCTTGCTGATGGCCATTTCTCTCTTGTTAATCTATCAAACAGCACCTAAAACAGCAACATGTTAGATCCCAGAGGGACTTCTGTGATCACCTAGTCCAAACTCCTCATGTTTTGTTAATGACAAAACAGAGGCCCCAAGTGAAGACTCTCTTGCTCAGTATCATATAACAAGTTAAGTGGTAAAGGCAGGACTATAACCCTGGTCTCCAAGTAGTTCTCAGTGCTTGTCTCTAGAAGATACCTCTTTCCTATTTGCTGCCTCAAACTACAATAGTAGAAAAACCAGAAAACATGGTTGTCAGAAACATGTATCAAATAAATGAGGCTTATGATTTAAGCCAGTGGGTCCTGGGTAATGACTTTTAATATAAAGAAAGTCTTTGCTAGGCATGGTGGCTTACGTCAGTAGTTACAGCATTTTGGGAAGCCGAGGCGAGAGGACTGTCTGAGCCCATGGATTCGAGACCAGCGGGGGCAATTGGCGAGACCTCGTCTCCACAATAAGTCAAAAAAACAGCTGGACATGGTGACGCATGCCTGTAGTTGCAACTACTTGTAAGGCTGAGGCAGAAGGATCATCTGAGTCCAGCAGGTCGAGTCTGCAGTGGCTGTGAATGTGCCACTGCACTCCAGCCTGGGCGACAAAGTGAGACTCCGACTAAAAAAATAAAAATCTTTGTGACAGCTATTTTGGTCCTACCTCCATTCATACAATTCCCAGTTTATGTGATAATCCAAAAAAATTAAAGATGCCACGTCTAGCTGGGGCTGAAATACTGTTATTCCTATTTACTCATGTTGTTAGCACTTACTGTAGACAAATGGATTTTCTGTACAGTCCTCCACTTACCTGGAGGTTCTCATGGCTCTTTCTGCTTACTATGACATTACTAACCAATTAACCTTTCCAAGTGAAAGAAGACATACAGAACACTATCCCAGTTCACTTCTTGTTAATAGCATAGTCTTATTTCACTGTTTTCAAACAAGTCTTCCACTACCAACTTTAATTTTTTCCCTTTGAGAAGTTTCAAAAATGAAACAAGAGATCAGGAACTGACTTCCTCTATGCTCAAATGCATCAGTTCAGTCATTATTACCATTTAGAATAGAGAATGCAGAGGCCCTGAAATATCAAAAAATACCCCATGAAAGGCCACAGTGTAACTGTTACTATACTGTAGTCAAGTAATGTTCAGGAGCAAAGAAGAAAGTTATCAAATATATATTATTTGTTTCATTAAAGCGGATGACTTTTCAGTTTAAATCATCTTCTGTTGTAAATCTTTCAGCATTCTGAATAATGTCAGATGAGCTGTACATTTTTATACATAATGGTATTTAGCATTATGTAAACTATACTCTATGGAGCTGACATCTCAAAGGCTGTGCTTCTGCAGAAACTCATAGAACATTAACTGTATATTTATGGGGGAAAATACTAGTTACCTGAAATATAAACATAGATTAAGAAATCAAGTACAAACACCCACACTTTTCAGTCTCAGGTCACACTTACCACTTCTGCAAAAACAAGGATGTATAAGATGACAAAGTATATCTTGAAAAATCCCTAGTGAACTAAATTGTATGTTTTTTTGTTTTGTTTTGTTTTTTGAGTTGGAGTTTTATGGCCACTGCAGCCTGTACCTGCGGGGTTCAGGCAATCCTTTCTGCCTCAGCCTTCCAAATAGCTGGAGCTACAGGCGTGTGCTACCACCCCTGGTTAGTTTTACTTATTTTTTTAATTATTGTAGCGACTAGGTCTCACCAAGTTGCCCAGGCCAGTCTTGAACCCGTAGGCTCAGCAATTCTCTTGCATCCACCTCCCAGAGTGCTGGGATTACAGGCATGAGCCATCATGCCCGGTCAAATTGTATGTTTTAATTACTATTAAAGTGCCTGACAGTCAGATGTTCTAAAACTCTGGACTCTATAACTACTTGAATGATTGCACTTAACTATGTGATTATTACCTTTCAACTTGTCAATCATATGTCATTCAAAAGAATTAACTATTCTAATTGTTTTAAAACAACAAATATCTGACTCAGAAGGAGACACTTAAAATGTTCTTACCTCCCACTGTTGTATCCTAATTTACAAAAATATGTACCCAAATGTTATGACTACTCAATTTAATTTTTTAATGTTAAAATATCTTCCATTTTGCCACACTGAATGTTATCTAAGAAAGATGGTGACAGTTGGAGCAATATTGGAGTAGGAGTAAAAAAAAATCCTAGAATTTAATCTTGGGCTCCACCACTTTCTAGTTTAGGTGTGGCCCTATCATTTACCAAGCCAGGTGACCTTTAGCAAATTACTCAGTCTCTTTGAGCTCCATTGAGGATTCTGTAAAAAATGCAACTATTATTATCTGCCTTACCCTAGCACAGGATTATTGTAAAGATCAAATAAGACAGTGCATTTAAAAGAGCTTAGTAAATTGTTAGGTATTAATGTAAGATGTTATTGTTATTATCTAAACAGAAAACTGAAAGTTATATTTCAAAAAACAGGCAAAAATATTATATCAATGTGACTTGTAGCAGCTGATGCCATATAATCCTTATTGTTGGCTTCTTCTGAAGAAGAGTGAAGTCATCAAGTTAGTTTATCTTCAGTAAATACATTTCATACCTGGCATAACAAAATACTTCCACATGTTGAATGGTTTTGTCCTTCCTGCTAAGAAAAATGACATCTTCATTTTCAAGGATCTGCTCTTGCCATGATGGAATTTCATTAACAATGTCACTGTTTTCCTAAGCAAAACACAGATGAGAAGTTTTAATTAAAGAAAGCATTCTGAGCCTATAATTTTCTGAGAAAATTTACATCTTATCTAAATTCATGCTTTTCCTTTCATCACACCAAAATTCAAATGATATCACTTCAGAGTCACCAAAGTGACTCCAACAGAGTATGCCAACTTCAAACAAAAAAGAAAAAAAATGAGGAATTAGTACTAAAAAAAACTAGCTCTAGTTTACAGATTTCTATTAGGATATATGGTATTTTGAAAAAATTGTCTGGACATGGCTGCTTTGACATTGCTTAAAAACTAGGACAACTAGCCTGCCCATAATCAAATATATCTCATATATACTGTTAATAATGAAAAAGATCTTTTATATTTTGTAAAAACAACAGGGTCGAAAAAACTTATTTCATTCTATTTACTTTCAGATCTTTGAAAGCTGGTCACTAGTCATGTGAAATTTTGATTATATGTGAAAGTATTTTTGAAAACTACTCAGCCTACTATAACTAAGGGCTTCATAATAACTAGTCTCTGAATATTTTATATTCAGAAAAACAATACACAAAAGAATGTATAATAAAGCGTGTAAACTCTCATTAAAGGTTGAGAGTGGACCATTAAAACTTTCAGTCACTCCTAATTACATTTTACAGAGAAAATGATATGCTACAACAGTATTTGAATACAGGAGATGTTTGTAGATGCCAAAAATACCTTTATCAAATGTCAAGGATAAATTTTTAATCTGTTTCCAATTTTAAGCTATTTAATATACATCTTTATCAGAGGAAACTTTTTGAAAACATATTGTATACATTCAAGGAACTAGTAGTGGAATTAGAACTATAAAATCAAACTTTAGCAGAAGAATCCAAATCACAAAAATAAAAGCCCAAATACAGGACATAGAAGACAAAAATATCATAGAAAACATCAACAAAACAAAAGCTGCTTCTTTGAAAGAATTAACAAGATTGATGGACCCCTAGCCAGAATGACCAAGAAAAAGAGAGAAAAAGCCCAAATAAATACAATCAGAAATACAAAAGATCAAATCACAACTGACCCCAAAGAAATACAAAGGATTATCAAAGATATGACGCACACCAATATGGAAAAAAACTTGATAACCTAGATGAAATGGAGGACTTTCTGACATCACAGAATCTCCCCATGTTAAAACAAGAAGACCTTGAGAAACTAAATAGACCAATAACAACCCAGGAAATTGACTCTGCTATACAAAAACTACCTACCAAAACAAAAAACCCTGGACCAGATGGTTTTCCAGCAGAATTCTACAAAATGTACAAGGAGGAGCTGATACCAATCCTTTTGAAAGTATTCCAGGCAATTGAGAAGGATGGAATTCTCCCCAAATCAATTTACAAAGCTAACATTACACTGATACCCAAAATGGGTAAAGATACAACAAATAAAGACAACTACAGGCTAATACGCCTTATGAACATAGATGCAAAAATCCTCAACAAGATTCTAGCAAATCAGATCCAAAAACACATCTCAAAAATCATCCACCACAACCACGTAGGCTTCATCCCCAGGATGCAGGGCTGGTTCAACATTCACAAGACCATAAATGTCATTAAATACATCAACAGATGTAAAAACAAGAACCACATGATTATTTCATTAGATGCAGAAAAAGCTTTTGATAAAATCCAGCATCCCTTCTTGATAAAATCCCTCAAACATCTAGGTATAGCAGGAACAAACCTCAAAATAGTAAGTGCCATCTATGACAAATCCACAGCTAACATATTGCTAAACAGACAGAAACTAGAAACATTTACCCTGAAAACTGGAAAAAGACAAGGCTGCCTATTCTCATCCCTATTGTCCAATATTGTGTTGGAAGTCCTAGCTTAGGCAATTAGACAAGGAAATCAGGGGTATCCAAATAGGAAAAGATGAAGTCAAGTTATCCCTCTTTGCTGATGATATGATCCTATACCTTGAAAATCCAAAAGAATCTGTCAAAAACCTGCCTGTATTGATAAAGGACGTTGGCAAAGTCTCAGGGTACAAAATAAATGTGCAGAAGACAGTTGCAATCCTATACATCAGCAACAAGCAGGCAGAGACTCAAATAAAAAGCTCAATCACATTCACAATAGCCACCAAAAAAATGAAATATCTCAGCATCTTCCTAACCACAAAAGTGAAAGACCTTTACAATGAGAATTACAAAACACTACTCAAAGAAATCCAAGAAGAAACAAACAAATGGAAAAATATTCCATGCTCATGGATAGGAAGAATCACCATTGTTAATATGTTCATCCTACAAAAAGCAATGTACAGATTCAACACAATATCCATTAAGTTACCAACATCATTCTTCTCAGACCTGGAGATGACAATACAGAAATTCATATGGAAACATAAACGACTACGAATAGCCAAAACAATCCATAGTAAAAGAAACAAAGCAGGAGGTATCACACTTCCAGACTTCAAACTTTACTATAAGGCTACAGTAATCAAATCAGCCTGGTATTGATACAAGAACAGGCACACAGAACAACGGTATAGGATAGAGATTCCAGAAGCAAAGCCTCAATTCCTCAACCAACTCATCTTTGACAAAGCCTCCAGCAACAACCGCTGGGGAGAGGATAACCTATTCAGTAAATGGTGCTGGGAAAACTGGCGGACCACATGTAGAAGATTGAAACAGGATCCCTACCTATCACCATACACAAAAATTAACTCTAAATGGATCAAAGACCTAAATGTAAAACCTCAAACTATAAGAATCTTAGAAAACACAGGAGACAGACACCCTTATGGAAATCGGAACTGGGAACCAATTCCTACTCAGAACCCTAACAGCCAATACCTTAAGAAATAAGATAGATAAGTGGGACCTCATCAAGTTAACAAACTTCTGCAAAGCAAAAGAAACCATCAAGAGAGCAGGGAGACAACCCACAGAATGGGAAAAAATATTTGCCAACTGTATATCTGACAAAGGCCTAACATCTAGGATCTACAAGGAACTCAAATGCACCAAAGGGAAAAAAACAAACAGTCCCTTTAAAGTGGGCAAAAGACATGAATAGACACTTCTCAAAAGAAGATAAACGGGCAGCTAACAGACACATGAAAAAGTGCTCAGCCTCACTCATCATCAGAGAAATGCAAATCAAAACCACACTGAGATACCCCTAACCCCAGTAAGAATGGCGATCATTAATAAAACAAACAATAACAGGTGCTGGCGAGGATGTAAAGAAAAAGAAATGATTCTACACTGCTGGTGGGAATGCAGACTAGTACAATCTCTTTAAAATACAGTGTGGTGATTTCTGAAAGAACTAGAAATTGACCTTCCATACAACTCAGCAATTCCCCTTTTGGGAATATACCTGGAGGAACTCAAATCATTCTACAAAAAAGATACCTGCACACGCACGTTTGCTGCAGCTCTATTCACAACAGCAAAAACATGGAACCAACCGTGTTGCTCTTCGAAGCTAGACTGGATAAAAAAATGTGGTACATATACACAATGGAATATTATGCAGCCATAAAGAGGGACACATATATGGATATTGCAGCAACTTGAATGGATTTGGAGTCGATCATACTCAGTGATTTATCACAGAAACCGAGAATTGAGTTCCATATGCTCTCACTCATAAACTGACCTTGAACAGTTACAATGCTATAAGAAAGTGATTGGCAGTAGTGGGAAACTGTCATGGGGGGATGGTGGAATTGGCAGTTGAGGGAAACTGCTAGGGGAGGGAGTGGTGCACCTCATCAACAATGGTACCTGCATGATCAATGTTTATATACCTAACCCTGAAATGTACCCCACAGCTTTATAATAAAAATTTCTTTAAAAAGGTCTACAGAGTCTTTTAAGTAAATTCATCTCAGAAAATGCCTAAACTTACAAGTTTCATAAATCTCTAGTGCATTAAATTTTAATTTTTAACTACTATCAAATGCCTGACAGTCTGATGTTCTAAATCTCTACACTCTATTACTACTTGAATGATTGCATTGAATTATGTGATTATTGCCTTTCACCACCATTGACCATATATCACTTGAAAAAGTAAACTATTCCAATTGTTTAAAAGACTTAGAGGAAAACACTTCAAATATATCATCACTCTTTCCCAACATATAAACTCTTTTGAGATATAGCGGTTTCTAATTATATATACGATACTTTCTGCTAGAATTTCATTTCAAGCCACATATATCCATGTGTATAAAGTTAGGAAAGTTTTGTAAACCTATCTTATAAAAGCTGGCAAACTCTGGCTGGGCACGGTGGCTTATGCCTATAATGCCAGCACTTTGGGAGGCAGAGGTGAGAGGATTGCCTGAGCCCACGGGCTCAAGACCAGCCTGGGCAACTTGGTAAGACCTCATCTCTACAATAAATCAAGAAAAATTAGCCAGGTTTGGTGGCACATATCTGTAGTTCCAGCTACTTGGAAGGCCAAGGCGGAAGGATCACCTGAGCCCAGTAGGTCGAGGTTGCAGTGGCCATGAACATGCCACTGCCCTCCAGCATGGGCGACAGAATGAGACTCCAACTCAAGAAAAAAGAAAAAAAAAACAAAAACAGGCAAACTCAGTAAAATAACCAACCCCATATTAGGCTGTACGTGATCTCAAACAAGATTCTTTACAATGATATTCGACAACTGAGTACTGAGATCCTACCCTTAGAAAAAAAAATCACTGAGTATATACTAAATCTCTCTCCTTGCCTTTTCTTTTAGCTCATTCTGTCAGGTGACCTCTATAAACGCAAAACTAGCTGGGCATGGTGGCTCAGGCCTATAATCCCAGCACTTTGGGAAGGCAAGGTGGGAGGATCACTTGAGGCCAGGAGTTCGGGACCAGTCTGGGCAACATAGTGAGATCTCATCTCTACAAAAAAATCAAAAATCTATCCGGGTGTGGTGGCACACACTTGTAGTTCCATTGTCGACCCGTGATGGTGCCATTGACCCCGGTCTGGGCTACAGGGTGAGATACCAACTCAGAAAAACAAAACAAACAAAACCATGTCTGTCTAAGATCACTTCAAACTAATGCACCTTCTCCAAATAGCTATTTTTTGTGTATCTGCTTGTTTGTTTTATTGTTTTTGTTCAAAATAAACTAACTAAAAGAGCAACTAGTAAATGTGAGATTTTTTTTAAGGACTAGAATATTTTTTATGAAAGATGATTTTGGGGAAAAAAAACACTGCCTTATATTTGGGCATATAGAATAACTAGGCAAAGGTATTAAGAATACATGATTTACTCTTCAGCCAACACATCTACATTTAAAAAGTGATAGCTATAAGGGCATCAGAAAAATATTAGCTGAAAAGGTAACTATGCATATTTTTGTTAAATAAGTGAATAAAAATAAAGAATCCTATATTACAGATAAAGCTGAGGGATTTTCTTCAATGTAAGGTTATTATGTGACACAAAATACAACCTAGCAAATTAAAAAATCTGATAATAATTTTACCTGATATTCCTTTAGCCAAGACAATAGACCTGAAAAGCTAAAACTGGCCCAGTTTCCTCCATAGTAGCTTCTTCTGTAACAATACAAAATAAGATTAAAGGGTATAAAAATCAAGTCACTGATCTTCATCAACAAACCACTCTTGACCCTTAAACTCATTTAATTTTTTAATACTGCCTCCTGTAGAGTTTAAAAGTATACATAATTGGGATGTTAACATAAGTGGAAGTGGTAGGCTGAAATAAAAGTAGGTCTCTCAGATCCCAAAGGAAATGTTTCACAGCATAAGGAGTTAAAAAAAGTTAGGTGCTGTGGCTCAAGCCTGTAATCCCAGCACTTTGGGCGGCCAAGGGGAGTGGAGTGCCTGAGCCCAGGGGTTTGAGACCAGCCTGGACAACTTGGTGACACCTTGTCTCTAACTTGACACCTTGTCTCTACAATAAATCAAAAAATTAGCTAGGTGTGGTAGCGTGCACCTGTAGTTCCAGCTACTTGGAAGGCTGAGGTGGAAGGATTACCAGAGCCCAGCAGGTCAAGGCTGCGGTGGCTGTGAGTGTGTGACAGAGTGAGACTCCAATTCAAAAAAAAAAAAAGGAATCTCTGTTCTCCTTAAGGCTTTCTCCATTTGATCATATAAACAGCTTAACATGAGCATTTGAACAAGGAAAATGAATGTGTATGACTCCTGGATTAACAAAAATGGTTAGGAAGAAACCCTCGATAGATCTCAAATAAAGCCAATGAAAATCTGCTAAGTTTTCTGTAAGTAGTTAAATCTCTACCCCTCTACCACCATCACCACCACCAAACCTATCTCCTATACCAAACACACACACAATTGGCTACTCTAGATAAAGTGGAAGGCCCTATGCTATTTTTAGTCTTTATAACCAAAAATAAAAGAAGATCCTGGAAAATATTTATATTGCATCAAGACTTTTGTAGTAAGCGCAATGGGAACAAAATTCCCACTTATAACTGGGTGAGTTATTATTCTTCATTCTATAGTCCTATGAAGATCATTCTATTTTGGAAAACCCAGTGGTCTCATATTTAAGATCAGCTAAACCCTGTAGACATTAAACATAAGTGGAGTTTTTTTTTTGAAATCAGAACTGTCTAATTATTGACTGCACATTGAGCTTTCCAATCCCTATAAAACTAGTCACATTTTCTGATTCTGTATGATAAGCTCACAAACACACCTGATTCCACCCACAACACCCATTCTGGTTCTGGGTAAGAAAGATTGTTGGTTTTATTTCTGTTTTCACTTTTGCATCTTTTTTTATTTCTCCATAAAAGCACCTTTTAAAATTAAACAAAAAACAAAACCTTTAATGTGATACTTAAAATTACTCTTCCAGATTGGTGCAGTGATGTACACCTGTAGTCCCAGCTACCTGGGAAGCTGAGGCAGAAGGATCACTTGAGTTCAAAAGTTCAAGACAAGCATGGGCAGCACAGCAAGAATCCCATCTCAAAAAAAATAAAATTACTCTTCCATAATGCTACTAGATATCACTTCAAAATTCTGATATATTTCTCCTCAATTAACTGTTGACGTGGGCCTAAAGAACAATAAAGTATTTTACCAAATAATCACTGTTTTGCTCTAACAAAGAAAAGAGATAAATCAAACACTTGTGAAAGTAGATCGATTAATATAGGTCACTTCTGTACATACATCTGATGGCTCTCTCAGGAACAATGTAAATTCATATATTATCCAGAATCTCCAGTGGGTATTACAATTTAGATAAAATTTCAGCTATGCTAGCAATTCTAAATGGTCATCCCTAACTAAAATGTTGGAATCAGAAAAGCCTATAAGCGGTGATTCCTTGCATCAGAGAGGAGTAAAAGAAAGGTGGGCAATGGCAGGCATGAAGAGGGAGGAAGGAAAAGAAAAGAATGTTAGAATTGGGGGTTTTCCCATAGCAATTTATACCCCTTTTCTCCCTCACTTGAGAATAACACATACACCTTTGCCACCCCATCCTCCAAATATAACACTCAATAAAACTAGAAAATATCTTGGATATTGGGGCGGGGGGAATCCCTAAAGCCACTGTCTCTGTATTTTTTTGCTGATACTTAGATTTCCTTTGAACCACTAGTAAGGTCATAAGTGAGCAGCACTGGCTAACAGGCGACAGCTTCAAGACCAAAGTAAAACATTTTTTAATGGACACATCAACTTATAAGTAATAAATATATATCAATAGGCTGGGCTCAGTGGCTCAGCCTATAATCCCAGCACTTTGGGAGGCCAAGGCGAGTGGATTACCTGAGTCCACGGTTCAAGACCAGCCCAGGCAACTTGCTGAGACCTCATCTCTACAATAAATAAAAAATTAGCCAGACATGGTAGTGTGCGGCTGTAGTTCCAGCTACCTAGAAGGCTAAGGCAGAAGGATCACAGGAGCCCAGCAGGCAAGGCTAGGGTGACCGTGAGTGTGTCACTGTATTCAAGGCTGGGCGACAGAGTGAGACTCCAGCTCAAAAAAAAAAAAATCTTTTTTTTGAGTTGGAGTAAGTTACTCTTCCACATATATAAATATATAAATATATATATATAAATATATATATATAATTTTTTTTTTCTTTTTGGAGCTGGAGTCTCACTCTGTCGCACAGGCTGGAGTATAGTGGCACACTCACGGCCGCCCCAGCCTCGCCTGCTGGACTATGGCAACCCTTCTGCTTCAGCCTTCCAAGTAGCTGGAACTACAGGTGCATGTCACCACACCCAGTTAATTTTTTATTTATTGTAGAGAGGAGGTCTCTCCAAGTTGCCCAGGCTGTTCTCAAATTCTTGGGCTCAAGCAATCCTCTCGTCTCCGCCTCCCAAAGTACTGGGATTACTGGTGTGAGCCACCGCACCTGCCTATATTAGAAATCTAACAATGGGGTAGGGGTAGATAAAAATTTCTTAGACAGGACACAGAAAGCAATAAAAACTACTCATAAATTAGACTTCATAAAAATGAAAAACTTATCCACAAAAGATATAATTTTAAAAAATGAATGGGCCAGCTACAAACTAGGAGAAAATATTCACAAAACATATCTAATAAAGGTCTGATATTCAGGATATATATATTTTAAAAAGTCTATTTCAGTCTAATAAGACAAATATTAAAATTTAAAAATAGGCAAAGAGTTTGAACAGACACTTCACACACACACACACACATACACACACACACACACACACACAACGTAGTTAATAAACACATGAAAAGGCGCTCAATATCATTAGGTAAATGCAAATTAAAATATCATTCAAATTGAGCATATAAGATACTAGTACACATGGATCAGAATTCTTAAAAAGATCAACAGTACCTGCTGTTAGTGTGGATGGTCAGAATGCTCACACATTTTGGTGGGAGTGTAAAATTGGACAAGCACTTTATAAAACTATCTGGCAGTTTCTTACAATACTCAACATACACCTGCCCTATGACCCAGTAATTCCATTCCTAGGTATTATACATGAGAAAAGCATGTATTCACAAAAAGACTTGTACAAGTCTTTTCACAGCAGCTTTACTCATTAATAGCCCTCAAACTGATAATAATCAAAAAATCCATCATGTAGAAAATGGGGCCCAGCATGATGGCTCATATCTATAATCCCAGCATTTTAGAAGGCTGAAGGGGGAGGATCGCTTGAGGTCAGGAGTTTGAGACAAGACTGGACAATATAGCAAAACTCTGTCTATTAAAAAAAAAAAAAAATTAGCTAGGCTGGTGGTACATACCTATACTCCTAGCTACTTAGGAGGCTAAGGCAAGAAGATTGCTTTGGCCCAGGAGTTCGAGGCTGCAGTGAGCTATGATTGCAACACTGTACTTCAGCCTGGGCAACAAAGCAAGAATCTATCTCAACAACAACAACAAAATAGGAGAATGGCTAAACAGCCTGTGGTATATCCATAGGATGGATACTACTCACCAATGGAAAAAAAATAAATCCCTGCTATATACAACATAGAAGAATCTCAAAAATGTTATGCTGAGTGAAAAAATTAGCCAAAAAGAGTACATACTATATGATTTCATTTATATGATATTCTAGAACAAACTACATTAACCTATGACGAAAAATACCACAAGAGGGTGTGAGTGGGGTTAGGACTTGATTGTGAAGAAGCATGAGGGAACTTTGTTCTTTATCTTGATAAGGTTCTTAATTACTCAAATATATGCATTTGTCAAAATGTATTAAATGACACATCAAGATAAGGGCATTTCACTGTATATAAATTTTATCTTAAACCATAAACAAATATTCCACGCTAGTTAGTAATATGTATGCTGAAGTGTTCAGGATTTAAGTCACTGGATGTATGCAATTTACTTTTAAATACATAAAACAATAGGATGGATTGATGTTTAGATAACAGAATGAACAGAATGAATATATGAATAGTTACCTGATAAAGCAAACATATCAAACTATTAAAGGTAGAATCTAGGTAGTGGATACATAGGTGTTCACAAATTTTTTTCAAATTTTCTGTATATTTACAAATTAGCAGAATAAAATGTCAGAAAACTAAAAGTAATCTAACATGAGTTTTCAAACACTGACAGTGATGTGTCAATTTTCAAGGTATTATCTGCTATTATCAAATGCCTAAAACACACACACACACACACACAACAACAAAAACAACAACAACAACAAAACTCTAAGAAGGGCTGTGTTGCTGTTTCTTTCCATTATTAAGTGACTTAATGACAGTTCATGGTCAAAATCTATTTTTCTCCCCTATACTTGGTCATATGGTTTTTTTACAGAGCTAATTGACTCTAGTATTTTTCCATGCAGCTCCTATTTTCAACTTTTCCTGTTGATGTACTCTTAACATCAGCATCTGGTGATCTCAACCAATTATGTATGTAAAAGGTGAAATATGGTTTTCGTTACTGTGGTCTTTCTGACAAAAGAGGGTAGCATATTAGTAAATTTACTATAAAACTAGCACAGTTTTTGATTAAATGCATTTAGTATTTGCATGGTTTCAAACATGGCTTATAATATCCCTTAAAGACAAAGAC